AACAATTGACTGCTCAGTGTCTCTTGTCCTTATATTGTATGTATTCTAACTGAGACATTATGAAGTCATCATCTTGTGGTTTGTCTGTTGATGAACTAATCATCTCATAATACTCCCCTTCAAACTCTTACTAGTCTGAGTAAACTGGTAAGATGTTTGACTTGTGGTACATATAGTGCTTTAGTTAATATATCTGCTCATTGATTGTTCGTCCGTATGTATTTCACATTTATGTACTCTAACTCAATATAGCATTTAATAAAATCTTTCTTATGATCTAAATGCTTTGTTTGTTCTGAATATTTGAGTTTGTCTGATGTAACCATTCATATAACAGTATTGTTATTGTAAAAGATATTAATTGGTGCATCAGAGACCTGCAGAATCTCTTCAGCTAAATGCATAAGTATGATCACTTCCTGTGTTCCTCTTGCAAGAGCTATTAATTCAGCTTCATACATTGAATTTGCCACCAGTGTTTGTCTTTTACTTGACCATGAAACTAATGAATCACTCAAGTAAAATGCATATCCTGATATTGCACAATGCCCTTCTTGCATCATACTGTCTGTGTCTGTATAGCTGTTCAATATTGATTGATTTGTGCTGCTGAGTTGGAGCCAGACATTGTTCGTAGTTTTTAAGTACATGTAACAATGTTTAAGTGCCAGATAATGCTCCATACCAGGGTCATTGAGGTATTTTGCTAACTGATTTGTTGCAAATGCTATATCTGACTGTGTACAGTCTGCAATGTATCTAAGTGTACCAACCATGTTCATGTATGGTATATCAGACATTTGTTTTCTATCATTATCAGTTTGCAATACTGTTTTTAATTGTGTACCAGGCTGTATGGGTGTTTGTACACTTCGTTCATTTGTAAGTTTGTAACATTCTATTATACTATTAATATAATGTGTCTGACACATCCTGATGAATCTATGCTCTCTGTTGCATTGAATCTCTATACTAAGTAGCCAGTGTAATTCGTTACTGTCTGTATATTGTAAATGACGTACAATAGATTGTTTTATCATTGTAATAGTATTATTATTCATTGCCACGATAGTAATATTGTCAACATGTACAAATAATATGGCTACAGTTATTTCTTTCTTCTTTGCAAAGAATACAGTATTATCATGTTCAGATTTTGTTAATCTGTATTTAAGTAGTATATTAGATAGCATTTTATACCATCTTCTACCAGCTTGTTTTAATCTGTATAGCACTTTTTGTAATTGTAATATTTGTCCATTCTGTAGTCTGTCTATTAAGTTACCTGGAGGAGGTTTAACATATATTTCCTTGTCTTCCATCAATTGTCCATACAGATATGCTGATTTTATATCTATCTGATGTATTTCATAATTATTAGATGCTGCCCATACTAATATTAATCACACTATAGATAGTCTAGCAGTAGGAGCAAATAAATTGTCTGTATGATAGTCAAGGCTGTCAATCTGATAGTTTCCTTGAACTACTAATTGTGCTTTATATTTTTCTATGCTATTATCAGTGTATTACTTTATTTTATAGACAAATTGTGTTCCAATGATGTTAATATTATTGTGTGGATTTGTGATTTCCCATGTATTATGATTTTCTAATTGTTTTATTTCATCTTTCATAGCTGTAATCCATGAATCACAATCTGGACATTGGATTGCTTTATAAAATGAAGTCGGATCCAATTGTATTTCACTTATTTTAGTATTAAATTCCATTAAATGAATAGCAATATTATCTTCATCCTTTTCACTAAGTGCATACATGTGTTTCGTTACACGTTTATTCTCCATACATTGTTCAAGCTCAATAGTACATTCTGTCAGTTTCTGTTTCTGTTCCAATCAACATAATTTAGGTTCTACTTCTTTTTTGGTTAATTTAACTTTGTCGTCCATTAAGTCTGTTGGTTCTGCCACTTTTCCTTTTTTGTTAGGATCAGTGTTGTCCGTATCATCATTGTCTGTTCTCATTATTCTATTGTCTGTTTCATTATTTTTAATTATTAAACACTTGTTTGTATTGTTGTTTGTATTGTCTATTTTTTCCCCTTCAATTTGAGGAGGTTTACCTTTGAGAAATTGAATATTTTGTTCAATGGTAATTTTATTATTGTGCCAAGTTTTATGGCCTTTACTTTCATTGTCTAATCCTATCTAACAAGCTATGATACCTTACTGTTGTATTTTTGTAGGATTTTCGTTGCAAATGATAATATATTGACCAAATTTGTATATATTATCAATTGTTCTGTGTGTTCCATAACGTTTGTAATGTGGGGTATTATAATTTAAAGC